TGAGTCGAAGTCAACTCAACTCAACGGGGTCGCCGTGAGTCGAAGTCAACTCAACTCAACGGGGTCGCCATGAGTCAAAGTCGGCTCAACGGCAACAGTGAAGCCAGGAGTCAGTGAAAGGATGCATGTGGGGGCTGCAGGGTTGATTCTCAAGGACGGGGGATGGCTCATGTGCTCACCTCCAACCCGGGGGCAGTTCCTGAGATTGCAAGTGGGAAAGTCCCAGAATTGGAGGCAGTCACCTCTGTCCCAAGGAACCCACTCCTTTCCAGAATCAGGAGATTTGCCAAGACCACTCGGGTCTGACTTTAACACCGTGCCTTTGAATGGGGGAAAGATCTTCACTTGGACGGTACACCATCGGTGATAACATTAATTACTAATATTAGAATAGGAGCAAGGATGGTGAATTACCTAGTGCTGCATTAACAGAAATACCACGAGTGGGTGGCATTTTTTTTGTTTCACAGTTCAGGAGGCTAGAAGCCTGGATTCAGGGCACCAGCTCTAGGGAAGGCTCTCTGTCGGCTTTGGGGTTGAATCCTGGTCTCAGCTTCCCTAGAGTTCTCCTCGGCATTCCTTGGTGATCTCCGTGTGGCATCTGTCTTCACCCCGTTTCTGCTTGCTTTCTTCTGCGTCTAATCTGCTCCTTTTGTATCTCAAAAGTGAGTAGATTTAAGACACACGGTACACTGACCTGGCCTCTTTCATATAACAAAGAAAACCCTATTCCCACAGGTATAGGGGGTTAAGATTTCAACACATATATATATATTTTAAATTTATTGTACTTTAGATGAAGGTTTACAGAACAAATAGTTTCTCATTAAACAGTTAGTACACATATTGTTTTACGACATTGGTTAACAACGCCACGACATGTCAACACTCCCCCTTCTTGACCTTGGGTTCCCTGTTACCAGCTTTCCTGTCCCCTCCTGCCTTCTCGTCCTTGTCCCTGGCCTGGTGTGCCCCTTGAGTCTCGTTTTGTTTTATGGGGCTGTCTAATCTTTGGCTGAAGGGTGAACCTCAGGAGTGACTTCATTACTGAGCTAAAAGGGTGTCCAGGGGCTGCACTCAACACATATTTTTTGGGGGACACAATTTAATCTGTAACAGCGAGACTCCGACTTGCTTACTTTGAACACATCATCAGGAAAGACCAATTGCTAGAAAAGGACATCATAGTTGGTAAAGGAAACGTCAGTGAAAAGGAGGGAGACCCTCTGTGAGATGGATTGACACAGTGGCTGCAGCAATGGGTTCAAGCATATGAACAATGGTGAAGACGGTCTAAGAACGGGCAGTGTCTGATTCTGTTATACACAGGGTCGCCACGAGTTGGAGCCGACAGAATGGCAGTTAACAACGTTTCTTATGAAATTGTCATTCTTTGGATAACAGAGTTCCAGGAGCTTACGTCAGCTCGTCTGTGCCAGTGGGAACATACTGAGAATGTTTTAATTTTTCAGTGACGAAAAGTTTATCGATGAGGTCAATTTCATCAGGGATACCCCGGTTTTGATGGTCTATGAAATTAACACGAAATCCAAGTGAAGCCATTTCTTTGCTTTTACGTAAAACACACATTTTAAACAACTTGCGGTGGTTTAAAGAAAAATGCGTAAATAAAAATGACTATAAATGTGTCACGCCTGAGCAAATAATAAGAAGATGGACTTTGGTCATTAGCTATCAAACTGCCTCACTTTAAACATATGTTTTGAGGAAACCAGAATCTGCAACGTTCCAACCTACATATTTATCTTCATATAATTTCCAGTCAAGTTTACCACACATTTCGCATTTATTGATGAATCATTTCTCATAACACTTCTCAACAAAAGATTACTTAAAAACAAACTAACAAAAAAAAAAAAAAAACAGCCTTCCAGTATACATGTGACCCTAAATGAGGAAATGCAGAAAAGCCGTAATTTTAAAAGCATAAAACTTATAATTTTACTGCAAGGAAGACAGCATGTATTCAGTGAAGTCCATGCTGTTAGAAGGTATGTGAAGCAAGTGGACCCCGTGGCGAAACCAAGCTCCCACATCGAAGCAGCTGGCATCTCGTATACTGTACAAACGACTCATGGATCTGACATTCACCCACAGGGCACCCATGGGGATGCAGGGGAGAACTGGATGCAGGAAGTATCTGGGTGCAGGGAGTATCTGGATACAGGTTAATATCTGCATAGAGGGGAGTATCTGGATGTGAAGGAGTATCTGGATGCAGGTTAATATCTGCATAGAGGGGAGTATCTGGATGTGAAGGAGTATCTGGATGCAGGTGAGTATCTGTATGCAGGGTAAAGCTGAGTATCTGGATACAGGTATTTGGATGCAGAAAATATCTGAGTGCAGGCAGTATCTAGATGTAGAGGAGTAGCTGCACGCATGGGAGTATCTGGATATAGAGGAGTACCTGGGTACAAGTGAGTATCTGTGTGCAGGGAGCATCTGTGTGCAGGATACAGGTGAGTATTTGGATGCCAGGAGTATCTGGTGCAGGGAGTATCTGGCTATAGAGGAGTATCTGGCTATAGAGGAGTATCTGGATATAGAGGAGTATCTGTATGCAGAAAGTATAGGGGTGCAGGGGAGCATATGCGTGCCAGGAGTACCAGTCCCTGATGTGGTAAAACAGGTGAAAGAAAAAGCGCAGAGAAAGGAAACCCTAGCTTGATGCTCCATCTTTAAGCCTCCAGGAAGGGAGCATGGAATCTGTCTGCTCATTTCTACAGCCTTCTTTAGGAAGTAGTCAGAAAGCAAAACACCGAAGTAAACAATACTTGGTTTCTACTTTTTTTTAAAAAATTAGTCTGGTATCTATCAAAACTCTTAACAAATAAAACAATTATGGAGGCAGTAAGTGGAAGACTCATCTCACTTTATAAAAAAAAAAATACCAATGGCGTGGAAATTTCAGATGTGTTTAATTTCCAGGCAATCTGTAAATGGCCAGGAGTACAGGACCGGGGGTCCCTGAGTCAGCGTGGTATTTGAATGATTGGGACTTTATAACGGTCTGCTTGTCACATCCCACGGGAAACCCCCGAGGGCCTTGGAGAAGGGGCCCGAGTCCCCTTTGGCTGGAAAATTCCTTGTTAGTAAACATCATAGACCCGGCAGGGCAACAGGCAGAGCGCATCACAGTATTAAAACAAACAAACAAATCCCCATGCGAGCAAACTGGGGGGCAGGATGGGGCTCCTCCCAGCCTCTGTGTCTCTGCCTGTCAGAGATGGTGTCCTTGGCAAACAGCAGAAGTCCGTCTTCTAACCCAGCTGTGAACACCTGGGTTGTTTTTTGCCGGGAGTCTCTAAGCCTTCTCTAGAAGCGTGCGTTGAACTGCGGGGTCAAAGAGACAAGGAAAGACTTTAAATAGACAAGAAGAGGAAATTTTAAAACCTTTCAATCCCTCAGGACAAATACTGTATGACTGCACATATATGAAATATCTAGAATAGGCAAATGCATTCTGAAGTCCAAAGTAGAGTAGTAGTTGCTGAGGGGTTGGGAGGACTCCTTGCATGCTGCAAATGGTTAAGCACTTGAGTACTAGCCAAAAGGTTGGGGGTTTGAAACCACCCGGAGGTGCCTTGGAAGAAAGTCCTGGTGATCAACTTCTGAAAGGTGATAGCCTTGAAAACTCAGTGGAGCACAGTTCTACTCTGCACATGTGGGGTCGCCAGGAGCCCAACTTGACGGCAACTAACAGCAACAACAAGAAAGGGTTGGGCAGAGGGAGGGATTATTGCCTAAGGGGTACAGGTTTCTGCTTGGGGTAATGGGAAAGTTTTGGAACGAGACACAAGATGGCTGCACAGCATGGTGAATGTAGTGAACCCCACTGAATTGTACACTGAAAAATGGCTAAAATGGTAAATTTTATGTTATATGTGTATAAAAAAAAGTCGCCGTCAAGACATGTGGCAACCCGCACGTGTCAGAGTGGAACTGTGTGCCATAGGGTTTCCAGTGGATGAGTTTTCAGAGGCAGATCGCCAGGCCTTTCTTCCAAGCCGCCTCTGGGTGGACTCAAACCTCCAACCTTTCAGTTAGCAGCCTGGCATATTAACTGAAGAAAGGCCTGTGATCTACTTTTGAAAATTAGTCAGTGAAAACCCTATGGATCAAAATGGTGTGATGTGTAACAGATCATGAAGATGGTGCAGGACCGGGCGGCATTTCATTCTGTTGTGCATGGGACCGCCTTGAGTCAGGGCCAACTCACAGGCAGCTAACAACAACACAATTACTGTAGCTTTACACAGATAACGCGCACCTTCTACGTTTGTCAATCGCTCCTTCCCCCTTTGAGGTATTTTCATAAGTGTGCTATGCTAATTTTTTTCACAGCAACATGTAAAAAAAAATGGCATAGTGGCTTACAAAAATACCTCATAGGGGGAGGGAGTGGTTGACAAACAAACGTAGAAGGTGTGCGTTATTTGCGTAAAACATGGTCGTTTGTCTCTGAACCCTAAAGCCCCAGATGCCATATATGTTGTCTCCCGAATGCATTCCTTTGAAAACAATGAGACATAAACAAACACATTTCGAACAATAAAATGGAGTCGAACAAGTGGGCAGGACAGCAGGATCCAGTCCTATTGGGGAAGTTACACCACGGCCCTGAGGAGGGGAGCTGGCCTCCCATGTCCCTCCTTACCAGGTGGTTCCGTGTTGGTGCCCTGATGGTTCTCCATGTTCACGTCCCCTTGTTCCCCTGAAAACAAGAAGAAAGCACCCATATCTGAATACAACACAGAACACTCGCCCGCAAAATGCATATACGTCACATTCTGTTTCTTTGGAAGAGACAAAAACCATTCCTTGTCAGGGGGGAGTGATTCCGATTCACGGCAACCCCGTGTGTGTCAGAGTGGAACTGTGCTCCATAGGGTTTTCAAAGGCTGACTTTTCGGAAGTGGATTGCCAGGCCTTTCTTCTGAGGTGCCTCTGGGTGGACTCAAACCTCCCACCTTTCAGTTAGCAGCCAGGTATGGTAACTGCTTGCACCACCCAGGGATTTCTGGAAAAGACAGCTCAATTCTAAACCCTAAGACCAAAGAGTTGTGTTGCATCCGTGTTTAGCAACCACCTATTCTGATGCTCTGTATGAGCCCTTGGTGGTATTTTTCCATATATGGTGCAGGAATAAATGGTCTTCATTAGCAGAACCCAAATGGTTTTGTTTTTCACTACATTAATAGTAGCTTTCTCTCCCCTGAATACCAAAGTACAAGCATAAGGAAACCCTCGACATTCAAAAATGGACATGTATCTACGAAAACGGTGACCCCCGCGTGACAGAGTACAACTGCCCCCATAGAGTTTCCTTGACTGTAATCCTTCTAGAAGCAGATTGCCAGGCCTTTCTTCCGCAGCACCACTGGGTCAGTTCAAATCACCATCTGTTTGGTCAGCAGCCAATTGCAAACTGCTTGCGTCACCTACGGACCTAACTGATCATATAAAACCAAAAAACCAAACAAAACAATAAAACCAGTTGCCATCAAGTGGATTCCGACTCATAGCCTCATAAGGCTTCCAAGGGGTGGCTGGTGGATTCAGACTGGCGACCTTTTGGTTAGCAGCCGAGCTCTCGCTATACAAAATTTGTGCCACCCAGGAACTCAGAATCACCCTGACAACAAGGGGTTTGGTTTTTGTGGTATTCTCTATGAAAAAACAATCCTTACTTGGAACCGTGCCCAGTCGCCATCAAAAGGAAACAAAGAGAATCTCTGCAGGTCAGTACGTTTCAGCATCTGGGACAAGGGACATATTCCCCTACCACCTGATTGCTATCCTCTGGGGTGGGAATCCAGCCCCCTTGCCTTCCTACCCACCTCCCCCAGGTGCAAGCTGAGTGAGGGGGCGTAGACACAGACTGCCCCAAACTGCCCTGGTCATCAGGGGAAGAAATTCGATCCACAGCAGTCCCTGAAGATAAACACAAAGACCCTCATTCCCGAAACACGCTGTTTAGCTTCGCCTCCGGCAAACAGCACAGAATATACTGTGTTCCTTTCATTTCCCAGAGCCGAGCAGCGACAGGGTGGAGACCTCTTTGAAATCGAAAGTTAAGAAAATCACATTCTAAGAAAATGGAAACTAACAGCTTACAAAAGGGGGAACGTCTAGCTTCCCCGACGGGTTTGCAGACGTATGCACGCATATCCATTGTGGATTAAAACCACAGCTTACAGAACTGGACAGTAAATTCAAAATGCGTAAGAGATCAACAGATAAAATACTTCTTTGCTGCATTGTTGCTAATGAAAACATAAGCTACACGCTTCAAACAAGAGAGGGACCACGGAATGAATCCACAACAGTTCATTTTCCATTCATAAAACTAAGCTGTGTGACGCTGCCCGTCCGTGGTTAAAATACCTTAGTGGACATGCATGGACAGCATCCGTCAGCGCGACTTTTAATTAAAATGTGGATGAAATGGATTGAGTGATGTAATCCCTTCTTCCAACCACAAAATGATGGTTACATGCTAAAGAGTCCATGGTTCTCAGATATAAACGAACCACTGACGAGCAGAGTTCAAAGATTGGTGAAAGCATCCATGGAGGTGACCACAGAGGGTATCTTTTCTGCTGGCAGGGGAGGCTGGTCGGCTGTCAACACAGGCAAATTCTAACCTTGCGTTCATTTCATAGGACAATAATTCCTTCCTACAAAGGCACTCTGCATGGTTAAGAGGCAAACCAATTTGAACGGGGCCGAGGACGACGATATAGGTTCTGACTATGTTTAATAAAAAAGTCCCTTTGAAATAAAACAGTATTACAAGACCAAAATAGAACCGGGAAGCCTTCATCAGCTTCACTTGGGCTAGGGCAATAAAGATGGCGGCCCTTCCCTGCCCTGCTGACTGATCCATTGGGAGAAATGGAACTGGGGGTGACGAGTCTCAACATTACATGGAAACCAACCACTCCATTTCTTCCTGCTGTATTTAAATTTTAAAAAAGTGCATTTATCTTCACTTTCTGAAGCTACTTGTGCATGAATATAATGTAATGCTATCTAATCTTCTCCTATAATGTAACATAATGAACTTCTCTAATCTAATCTAGTCACTTTCCCTACTGTTATATAATGTGATGTAATGTAATCACCCTCCATAGTGTAATGTAATCAGCTTCCATGTTATGTGATGTGATGTAATGACCTTCCATAATGTAACATAATGTAACGCCCTTCCATATGTAATGTAATGACCCTCCATAATGTAATATAATATAATGTAATTGCCTTCCATAATGTAATCCAATGTAATGTAATGATCCTCCATAATGTAATGTAATCACCCTCCACAATGTAATATAATATATTGTAATCACTTTCCATAATGTAAGGTAACGTAATATAACAAAAAACTTCTTCACATTAAGAAGGGAGGCAATATACAGAATTCAAAGTATGAAATTTGCTCTCTGGGAATCACACCACTACACTGGTTTTCTAGAACAAGAGAGAAGAGTAATAATTGCCAAGTCTGCTTTAAGGGCAAGGACTCCACATCTTGGAGGTAAACATGTATCAGGTCAGACTGGTCTTGCAGCCTGGGCAGGATTTCCTCCTTCTGTCTAGGTCTTCGACTCATCTGAAACGGAAGGTTGGAAAGAAAAAAGTGAACGCTGGGTCGGTTGGCTCTAGGTGGGGCTAGGGCTCCAGGAGGCATCAGCTGTTAGAAGGCCGTTCCTTGGGCTCAGAGGCTTAGAGACCCAGGGAAACATGAAGCAAGAACCAGAAGTTCTGGGGGGAAACCAAAATGAAGGCAGGAAGGAAAGAAGGAAGGGAGAGAGGGAGGGAGGAAGGGAGAAGGGGGACAGAACAAGAGAGAAGGGAGAGAGAGAGAGAAAGAAAGAGAGGAGGGAGGGGAGAGAGAAGGAGGAGAGGAGAGAGAGGGAGGGAGGGGGAAGAGCGAGGAAGAAGAAGCGGAAGTGGAGGAGGAGAGAAGGACGGGAGGGAGAGAGATAAACAGACAGGGAAACCTCGAGAGAAAGAAATAAAGACAGGAGAAGGAGACAGATAAAGAACAAAAGAGAAAGAACAGAGGGAGGGAGAGGAAAGAAGGAAGGAGGGAGAGAGGAAGGAAGGGAAGGATGGATGGACGGATGGATGCAGGAAGGATGGAAGGGAGGAAGGCGGAGAGAGGGAGGCGGGCCTGCCAATAGCTCCTTCCATTAAAGCACACGAAGCCGCCACCAGCCCAGGGACCCCGTGAACAACAAAAGGACACCAGTGTCATCAGCACCAAGGGGTAACACAAACGCCCCGCTCCACGTGGTCGGCGCTTGAACCAGTTCCTTGACGCAAAGGCACCCACACACAGAGGAAGCCCAGAGCCTATGCGGGCGAACAGCCTCAACAGGCCAGCGAGTCCCGTCCTCGTGAGACCCGGGGGCTCAGACAGAGCAGTGATGGTGAAGACGCACCCAGGACCAGACAACGTGTCCTTCTGTCATACGTACGTGGGGCCGCTAAACTCCCAGAACTACGCGTTCTGATCTTTACAAATAAGGGGCAGGTCGCCAATGTACTCTCACTGGCCACGGACGTTCTAATACTTCAGCTCAAGACAAAATGCTTTTACGTGAATTTATGCTGAATCCCTGTGTGCCGGGGCTGATAACTCCCCTGCTCCCACCAACAGGCAAGGCTGATTTTAACACGAATGTAGCAGACGCTCTGCCTTGTAATGGAGCCCTGGTGGCGCAGTGGTTAAGAGCTATGGCTGCTAACCGAAAGGTCGGCAGTTTGAATCCACCATCCGCTCCTTGGAAACCCTGTGGGGCAGTTGTACTCTGTCCTATAGGGTCGCTATGAGTCAGAATCGACTTGACGGCAATTTGTTGCCGTCAAGTCCATTCCAACTCACGGTGACCCATTGTGTTACAAAATAGAACTGAGTCCCGCAGGGTTTTCTTACCAGTAGCACAGTGGTTAAAGCGATCGACTGCTAACTGAAAGGTCAGCGGTTCGAATCCACCAGCAGCTCCACGGGACAAAGATGTGGCAGTCTACTTCCATAGAGATTTACAGCCTTGGAAACCCTATGGGGTCGCTATGAGTCAGAATCGATTCAACAGCAGTCAGTTTTGGGTTAATCTTTAAGAAAGCATACTGCAGGCATTTCGTCTTGAACCACCAATGTTCTGGTTAGCAGCTAAGCACAAACCACTTCATGACCCCTGTGGAATAATGGATCCAGGATGCTGTCTCCAAAACCACGGCTTCTCCAAGAGCTGAGGCATGCTGTACTCATGTTCCTCTTATGAGATCTCCAAGCTCACAATCACTTACTGGTTTGCCCATCTTAAAATTATCATCCCAGAAACACAGCAATCCTGCAGAGATCCTGAAAGTTCAGAATCCAGTTTGCGTTTATCCAAAAGGCACATCTTAATATACCCCACAGGAGTCCCCGGTGGTGCAAACAGTGAATGTGCTGGGCCTCAAACCAAAAGGTTGGCGGTTCCAGTCCACCCAGAGGTGCCTCAGAAGAAAGGCCTGGAGATCCACCTCTGAAAAACCTGCCATTGAAAGCCCCATGGAGCACAGCTCTACTCTGATACACACGGGTTCGCCATGAGTCAGAGTCAACTCAACTGCAAGTGGTTTGGTATTTTTTGGAATGTGTCTACTAACTTGAATCCACACTGCAACTCTATCTCTGTTCCTGAAGAGAGGTAACTGAGGCAAACGTTACGTTCATCTTATAGCATCGACATAAAAACCAAATCGAGCTTCAGAGGAGTCAGAAAGATACTCGCTATTTCTGAATTCAGTTCTTGGTTTTTATAGGAGAATGACGGCTGATTTCCTTTCAGTGTGAATGCTGGGCTAAATTTTACTGCTGGACACAAAAGCGCTTATCGCCCAAGTTACAATCGCCAACGTTCTTCCCTCCTTACACTTCGCTGATTTCTTCTTTTTTGCTCTCTGCATTGACATAAGCTCAAGATCTCTGACCTCTTGAAAACTAAAAAGCAAACCAAGATTTAAAAAAAATCGTGCGCTGTGTTAGTCTAAGAAGAATAAAAGACTGAATAAAATATTCCAGGAATAGTAACATAGCCTCTCAATAGTAGGTAGATGAGTTTCTGGGTAGTGTAAACGGTGAAAGCACTCGGCTGCTAGCTGAAAGGTTGGAGGTTTGAGTCCACCCGAAGGTGTGTCAGAAGAAAGGCCTGGCGATCTGCTTCTGAGAAACCAGCCACTGGAAATCCCATGGAGCACAGTTCTACTCTGCCACACGTGGGGTTGCCATGAGTCGGAGTCGACTCAATGACAATTGAATTGCTTCGGTGGTTTTTCTCAGCTGTATAAATGTAATTCCAACTGCCCTGAGCCAATTTTTCTAGAAGAATGCTTTTATTTTTCAAAAATGGCAAGGCAATGATTTGTACCCAGAGAGAGCCTTCTTTCTTCATGATCCAGCCTCTCTGCCATGGAGAAAATGCTTCATTCTCCAAAGATGAAGGCCCAGGGGTGGGGAAGACTTAGGTTTTTATTTCCCAATTCAATTTCCACATTTGGCAGCCGAGTCTGTTAAGATTCTTGGTCCCTTCCCCCAGTTCCTATGTTTCAGGGTATGACCACTGAGTAAACCACCTGCCGTGGAGTCAGTTCTGACTCTTATCAACCCCTGTGTGTCAGAGTAGAGCTGGGCTCCACAGGGTTTTCAATGGCTGATTTTTTCAAAGGCAGATTGCCAGGCCTTTCTTCCAAGGTGCCTCTGGGTGGACTCGAACCTCCAACTCTTTGTTGGCAGCCGAAGCACATTAACTGTTTGCACCACCCAGGGACTTTTGACTACAGAATGTTGTTGTGTTTGTTAGGTGACGTCAAGTTGGTTCTAACTCACAGCAACCCCATGTACAACTGAGCGAAATGCTGCCTTGTCCTGAGCCATGCTCACAAGTGTTGCTATGTTTGAGCCCATTGTTGCAGCCACTGTCAAGCCATCTTGTTGAAGGTCTTGCTGTTTTTTGCCGACCCTCTACATTACCAAGCATGATGTCCTTCTCCAGGGACTGGTCCCTCCTGATAACATGTCCAAAGTACGTGGAACGAAGTTTCACCATCCCCACTTCTAAGGAGCATTCTGTCTGTACTTCTTCCAAGACGGATTTGTTCGTTGTTCTGGCAATCCACAGGCAAAAAACCAAACCCGTTGCCTTCAAGTCGATTCCGACTCATGGCAACCCTACAGGACAGATTAGAACTGTCCCATACGGTTTCCAAGGAGCAGCTGGTGGATTCAAACTGCTAACCTTTAGGTTAGCAGCCTGAGCTCTTAACCACTGCACAACCAGTTCTTCCAAGACAGATTTGTTCGTTCTTCTGGCAGTCCATGCTATCTTCAATATTCTTCGCCAACACCATAATTCAAAGGCTTCAATTCTTCTTTGGTCTTCCTTATTCATTGTCCAGCTTTTGCATACGTATGAGGTGATTGAAAACACCACGGATTGGGTCAGGCACACTTTAATCCTCAAGGTGACATCTTTGCTTTCTAACACTTTAAAGAGATCTTTTGCAGCAGATTTGCCCAATGCAATATGTTGTTTAATTTCTTGACTGCTGCTTCCATGGGGGTTGACTGTGGAGTCAAGTAAAATGAAATCCTTGACAATGTCAATATTTTCTCCATTTATTATGATGTTGCTTACTGATCGAGTTGTGAGGGTTTTTGTTTTCTTTATGTTGAGGTGTAACCCATACTGAAGGCTGTGGTCTTTGATCTTCATCAGTAAGTGCTTCAAGTCCCTCTTCACTTTCAGCAAAGAAGGTTGTGTCATCTGCATATCACAGGTTGTTAATGAGTCTTCCTCCAATTCTGATGCCACGTTCTTCTTCATATAGTCCAACTTCTCGGATTATTTGCTCAGCCGAGTACAGAATAGCACCACAATAGTCCAAAGGCCGATAAGTCCCACTCACCAGGTTAACAGAATTGCTTCACAACTGCAGAATCCAATTTGGGTTCATCTAAAGATTTCCAACAAGTAACAGGGCTGAGACGTGTTTGTTTAATGCAAAGCATTCATCACTGTCTGGGATTTTCAAAGAGCCAGGAGCAAATCCAGTCAAATACCATGCACCCTCCCTTTTGGACAGCTCCCACACCTGTCCAGGTATCAGGCTCTACCTGCAGAAGCTTCAGGAAGAGAACAAAAAATGTAACGGAAAAGGAAAAACAGTGACAGAGGCGGAGGGAGGGAGAAAGAGGGGCCCATTGCTCAGAGGATACTGAGGTTCTGTAAAAGGTGACGGAAAACTCTGGAAATGGAGAGCCATGTCCATGTCACTGCAGTGTACATGGGAAAACTGTTGGGATGGCAGATGCTTTGTTATATACATATCACAGTCCCTGGAGAAGGACGTCATGCTTGGTAAAGTACGGGGTCATCAGAAAACAGGAAGACCCTCAACGAGATGGACTGACACAGTGGCTGCAACAATGGGCTCAAGCATAACAATGATCGTGAGGATGGCTCAGGACTGAGCCGTGTTTCCTTCTGTTGTACATGGGATCGTTATGAGTCAGAACCGACTTGACGGCACCTAACAACGTGTATATACGTATGTATGTGTGTGTGTATGTGTGTGTGTGTGTGTGTATATGTCTATATAGCTACCAAAAAACCCATTGCTTGAGAAGGGACAGTGTTGACATGTTGTGGGGTTGTTAACCATTGTCATAAAACAAGATGTGTACCAGCTGTTTAATGAGAAACTATTTGTTCTATAAACCTTCACCTAAAGTACAAAAAAAAAAAAAAAAAAAATCCATTGCAACTCACGATTCTAAAGGACAGGGTAGAACTGCCCCATAGGGTCTCCAAGGCTATAATCTTTATGGAAGCAGACGGCCACATCTTCCTCCTATGGAGCGGCTGGTGGCTTCGAACCTCCGACCTTTTGATTAGCAGCTGAGCACTTAGCCCACTGCGCCACCTTTTTTTCTGGGTGTGTGTGTATATATATGTATATATATATATATATACACTTATTACAATGAATTAAAAAGGAGAAACAAATTTAATTCCACTGATTCTCTATGAATTTAACTTCTCAGCCATTTCTAGGAGAAGGGTGAGAAAAAGGGGTGTTTTCCTTTTTCTTCTTTTCCCCTCATTCTGATCTTAGGTTTTCTGTAGGCACCTTCTTGAATTTGCTCACCTCTCCATCTGGGAACCACTCAACGCTTGTTTCCAATCAATCAACCAAACACTGTGTCCCAAGCGCCTGCCAGGTGGAAGACACCAGGTCCCAGGTGGGCAATAAGACTCAATCAACACCCTTACGCCTCTGTTGAGCCACAGAAAACCTATGGGGAGTGTATCATAATTTCACCACTTTGTAAATGCAAATGAGGCAGTGGTGGTTCTGTGGTCGAATCCTCGCCCTCCATGCCTGAGACCTGGGTTCGATTCCTGGCCAAGGCACCTCATGTGCAGCCACCACCCATCTGTCCGTGGAGGTTTGCATGTTGCTGGGATGCTGAACAGGTTTCAGTGGAGCTTCCAGACTAAGACAGACTAGGAAGAAAGGCCTGGCGAGCTACTTCTGAAACTCAGTCAGTGAGGTTGCCCTGGATCATAATATTGCAACCCACAGCAGATCGAGGGAATGGAACAGGGCAGCGTTTCATTGTCTTCTGCATGGAGTTGTCCCAAGTCGGGGCTGACTCAGCAGCAGCTATAAAACAATACCCACACACACACCAGCAGCATCGCCCATGGTGGGCAGGTTTTAGTTGAGCTTCTGGACTAAGACAGACCAGGAAGAAAGGCCTGGTGATCAACTTCTGAAAATTAGCAAACAAAAACCCCGTGGATCACAACAGTCTGATCTGCAACTGATCATAAGGACGGCACAGGACTAGGTAGTGTTTCGATTCACTGAGCATAGGGTCCTGTGAGTCGGGGTCAGCTCAAAAGCAGGGCACAACAGCAGCAACAACACAGATGCAAAACCCGAGAACTGGAGCCATTAGTACCTTGCAAACACCTCCACATCTATAAACAAGGTGGCACTGGCATTCGAACCCTGGGTGTCTGATTCTGAAGCCATGGCAATTTTATGACCTGCCAGCCAACTTATACTTTTTCCCTGTCAACATGAGCTTTTTTTTTTAAAGAAAGCCCACACTTTCAAGTTAGCAACGTGCAAAGGCACGGGAAGCGCAGTGGCCACCTTACCATTTTCTTTGAAGCAGAACTTCTTTTTCTGGTATGCGATGAAGCTGGAGACGGCCCCAGCCACAGCAACCACTACAGCCCCTACGATCCCAGGGATGACCCCGGGGGATTCAGCTGTGGAAGGAAGCACAAGGCATCATGACTGGGAGCACTGCTGGGGAGAAGATGCCAGGACAGGCAGCTGGTAGAGAATCTTGGTTGGAAGAAAAACATGAAATAGCCAAGGATTATGGACTGAATCGTGTCCTTCCCAAAATATGTGCTGGAGTGGTAACCCCTATACCTGTAGATGTAATCTAATGTAACATAATGTAATGTACTCATCTTCCATAATATAATGTGATGATCTTCCATAATGCAATGTAATGCAGTCACTTTCTCTAATGTAATGATCTTCCCTAATATAATGTAATCACTTTCCATAATGTAATCTAGCATAATGTAATCAGTCAGTTGAGGTCATACCAGTGCAGGGTGCGTTCTAAACCTAAAAACTTCTGAGTTATATAAAGAACAGAACAGCCATACAGAAGTATACAAAGGGAAGACAGATGCCATGTGAGGATCATCTACAAGCCAAGGAATGCCCAGCACTGAGTGACCATCCTTCCCACTGGCATCTTTAGGATGATGGTTAGAGTGCTAAAGGTTATAGGTCTTGAATATTTTATGCCCCCTTTTCTCAACATGTACAGGAAACCCAAAGAAAGGCGTCAGAACCAGGTATACGTACCCTGCTGGTTGCCGTCATCTCTGGGGCTCCCCCCGCCACCTGCAAGACAGGAGGAAGCTTGTCAACAATGTACACTGGGAAGGCGTTTGGTGAAGAGGGACTCATACAGGTCACAGACGGTATCCAGCGCCAAAGCATAAGGACATGCAAACAAAAACCCAAAAAACCAGTTGCCGTCAAGTTGACCCCGACTCATGGTGACCCCGTTGTACGTCAGAGTAGACTTGGCTCCACAAGGTTTCCAATGGTTAATTTTTTGGAAGTAGATCACCAGGACTTTCTTCCGAGGCACCTCTGGGTGGACTCGAACCTCCAACCTTTCAGTTAGTCATCAAGCACTTAGCTGTTTGCACCACCCGGGGACTCCACAGCGCAGGGGTGTTATTTCAAGGAACAACCAATGGGACAACCTGAATGCCTAACCATGCGGGATTGTTAGATGAATTGTAACATAAAGGGGAAGACGTCAGCATAAGGAGGAAGATGGGAGGGCCACACATGAGTAGCGTTTTTGCACCTCCCTGGGAAGTCACCTTTGGGAGAGTAACACACCTTGGTTTACAGCAGGTGACAGCGTGAGAACCCTTTGCCCTATTTTATTAGTATTCACCATTCATGCACGATTCTCGAAGAAGACAATGATAGCCAGGCCTCAGTGACAGAGTTGGAAATCAAGTATTTTCCCAGGACCGGCAAAGGAGGTCTGGTTTGTACCTGGGGCACTGGAGTTACAGCAGTGAACGAGATGCACTGCTCCTCATACCTGCAGGAAGGTACTATTGTCTTCTGCCCAGGTGAAGGTAGAGAGGACCTAAGTTTGGAAAGGAAATAAGCCCGCCAGGAAGCGGTGGGGTCAAGATGGAAGCCCCAAACCAAGGTGAGTGACAATCTCTTTCCACCTCAGGAGATCCACTCCAAGCCCAAGCTCTTATCAGCCTGGTGACGGAGATCCTGAGTTTGCGCCCAGCTAGGTGTTCATATTCACCTAAACCCTGCTGTAGATCGTCCTCTGATGAGAGTTACAGAAAGAGGCAGGAAACCCACTGTCTACTGTTGAATGCTGCCGCTGGGCCACCTGGGTGATCTCTCCACTCTCGTCTCTGCCCTTCTCTTTCCACCTTCATTCAACGAGTATTTAAATTATGAAATATTTCCACATTCATTCAATGAGTATTTAAAATAAGAAACAGGGCGGGTCCCAGGGTGGCACAAACCGTGGACATGCTCGGCTGCTAACTAAAAGGTCAGAGGTTCCAATCTGCCTGGAGGCACCTCGGAAGAAAGGCCTGGTGATGCACTTCTGAAAAATCAGCCATTGAAAACCCTATGGAGCACAGCTCCACTCTGACACCCGTGGGGTTGCCACGAGTAGGAGTCAACCTGAGGACAACTGTGTTTTGTTTTTGTTTTTTTAATAATTGAATTTACTTTTGTTGTTGTTGCTGAGAGCATACACAGCAGGAGGTACACCGACTCAACAATTTCTACATGGACAGTTCAGTGACATTGATCATATTCTTCGAATTGGGCAGCCATTCTCACCCTCCTTTTCTGAGTTGTTCCTCCCCCATTCACATAAACTCCCTGCCCCCTAAGCTTCCTATCTAATCTTTCAAGTTGTTGTCAGTTTAATCCCATAGAGACAGATCTTAAAAAAGCCCAATGCTTAAGGCAGACACTCTTTACTCATGAAGCTAAACTAGTGTTCAGTTTTAAAAAGACTTCAGGGGATCATTTTGTCTTAAGGTTTAAAGATGATCTCAGGGCAATAGTTTCGGGGTTCGTCCAGGCTAGTGATTTTTTTTGAAGGGTATCCATCCTGCCAACCTCCATACCCTGGGCAGGGAGGGGAGCTCTCTGAACCATGAACACAGGTCCAGCTTCAGCCTCTGGGGGGCAGGTCTTGCATTTCCAAACCCTTAATACAGCTGCACAGACAGCAAAAGATCCCAATCCCTTAGCTGTGGTTTTGCTGAAGACTAAGAAGGAAGACCCTTTAGCAATTCTGCAGAGCAAATGGGCCACATAGGCTGGAGGGAGAGAAGAGACAAAATAAAGCTGGAGACTGTACCTCCACCACCTGTCCCGTCAGCAAGGTCGGAATCTGAAAAGCGGCCTGTAGAGACAAACACAGTGTCACTGCTCCTGTGGGACGCTCTGGGAGGGTCTTGATATCGTGGCATGAAGGGAAAACATCACAGGACTCAAATGCAGATCTGGGGTGCTGTGGAATGAACTATGTCCCCCCCAAAAGTTGTGCTAAAATCCTAACCCTGGTGCCTGAAAGTATGACCCATTTGGAAACAGAGGTTTGTTATGGATTGAATTGCAGTGGATGTGACCCCATTTGGGAATAGGGTTTTCTTTGCTATGTCCATGAGGCCATACCTGTGTAGGGCCTGTTTTATAACAATCACTTTTGAGATATAAAGGAGCAGATCAGGCACAGAGAGAAGCAAACAGAGATGGGGGAAGATAGATGCCACGTGGAGATCCCCAGGGGACTGAGGAACGGGAGCTGAAAGGAGACAAGGACCGTCCCCCAGAGCCGACAGAGAGAGAGCCTTCTCCTAGAGCCGGCACCCTGAATTCGGACTTCTAGCCTCCTGACCTGTGAGAAAGTACATATCTGTTTGTTAAAGCCACGCCCTTGGGGTGTTTCTCTTACGGCAGTGCTAAAGAACTAAGACATGGGGGGACCCAACCAAGGGACTGCATGAAGGAAGAAGGCTTTCAAACATGCAGTTGCCGTGAATCCTTGTCCTATTTTAAAGCTCCCGAAATTCATTCTACCCGAAACTCTGCAACTAAAACCTGAAAAAAGACAGTACGCTTCACGGGAAACTATTTGTTCTGTAAGCCTTCACCCGAAGTACAATAAGAAAAAGAAAAAGACTGTACGGAAAAGCAATGGAAATCATACGCGCATCTCGTTGATGACTATAAATATTAGCAATAACCGGGAGAACGAGGCACATAAGAGGTTTGAACCCTACGGGAAAAAAATCTACATTTTACAAATACGTCAACACTCTCTCGGTATGTACAAACGACAGAATGTTTTTATTATAAATGTTTTCATTTAATTTGATATATAATATGTTGGAAGGAATGATCATCAAAATGTTAACAGCGTTTTTTTTCATAGTATTAGATATAGAACATCTGTACATGTTTTCTGTGTAAAAAGATGAAAACAAATATATAAGCAAAAAAAAATTGAGGTTTCGGCAGCCATTCCATTCAGAAAATGGGTGCCATTCAGATATTCTCTGAGAATACTATAAAGATTCAGCAAAGCTGATTTAAATAGTCATGGGCAGCAGGTTAAAAATTACTAACTTCTCTGTGGGGTATATACAAGCTGACACTTGCTTCCATTATCTATTCTATATAGTTAAATTCTTCAAATCCATTGAATCTTTAAAGATTCTATACCATGTAAAGAAGCCCTGGTGGTGCAGCCGTTAAGTGCTTGATGGCTCCAAAAGGTTGGCAGTTCGAACCCACCCAGCGGCTGGCTTCTCAGGAAAAAAGATCTGGTGATCTGCTTCTGTAAAGATTACAGCCTTGGAAACCCTATGGGGCACTTCCACTCTGTAACACAAGGGGTCACCATGAGTCAGAATCAACTCTACAACACCCAACAGCAAATAACAACTATAGAATGTTGGAAGGAGAACTAGCAGCAAGCTAAATAGCAAATCCAAACCAAACATCTTCTTTTGAAAACTGTTTTGTATGACTTGAAATTTGTAATTACTTGGTACAAAGACTTAACAGCAAGCATGTGTGTGTCTTGGTCATCTAGTGCTGCTATAACAGAAATACCACAAGCGTATGGCTTTGGCAAACAGAGGTTTAAACTCTCACAGTCTAGGAAGCCAAAAGACTGAATTCAGGATGCCAGCTCCAGGGGAAGGCTCTCTCTCTCTGTCAGCTCTGGGGGAAGGTCCTTGTCATCAATCTTTCCCTGGTCTAGGAACTTCTCAGCACAGGGACCCTGGGTCCAAAGGGTACGCTCTGCTCCCGGCTTTTCTTGCTTGATGGTATGAAGTCCCTCTCCTCTCTGCTCGCTTCTCTGTTTTATATCTCAGAAGACACTGACTCCACATATGACCTAATCCTGTAGATTGTGTCCTGTCTCATTACCACAGCTGCCTCTAATCTTGCCTCATTAACATCACAGAGGTAGGATTTATAAGACATAGGAAAATCACATAAGATCACAAAATGGTGGACAGCCACACAATACTGGGAATCATTGCCTAACCAAGTTGACACACATCTTTGGGGGACACAATTCAATCCATAACAATGTGCTAATCCAAAATGAAGTCCTCTCAGAGGAAATAGAAATCACAGAAGTCTAAAAAACACACAAAGGGCCTGCGGAGGGACAGGGTCTTACCGGAGGAGCCAGGCTGGTGAGGGTTTGGATCCGGCTTCGGTTTAGGTGGATAAGGCTGTGCTGGCTCATCTGTTCATGAAAGATAAGCGTTGCAATCAGGAACAATTTAAAATCAAGACACCAAAACATCAGTTAGAGCTCATGCTTTGTCACGGTGGGGATATGCATACATACACGCAGCCACCTGCTAATATAGCCCCCTCATCTTCCAGACAACCAACCCAGTTGTCACCGAGTCGACTCCAACTCATGGCGCCCCCATGTATGTGGCTGAGTAGACCTGTGCTCCATTAGGTTTTCAATGGCTTATTTTTTTGGAAGTAGATTGCCAGGCATTTCTTCCAAGGCACCTCTGGGTGGACTTGAACCTCCAACCTTCGGTTAGCAGCCAAGTGCATTAACAGTTTGCACCGCCTAGAGACTCCTAAAAATCAGTTGCCGTGGAGTCAACTTTGACTCATGGCGCCCCCATGTGTGTCGGAGTAGAACTGCACTCCATAGGGTTTTCGATGGCTGATTTTTCTGAAGTCAATCTCCAGGCCTTTCCTCCAAGGCACTTCTGGGTGGACTCAAACCTCCAGCCTTTTGGATGTCAGTGAGCATGTTAATTTTTCCAGTAGAAACTAAAGCAAACGTCTGGATGAGCTGTAGAATTTGTGGGGCCTGGTGAAAAATGAAACTTTATTAAGAATTTCAAGACGGTGACCGCAGAGCAGTACGCCGAGGGCAGGGCCCCCTTCTGGGCACAGGTATCCACGTTACATGGTTATGAAGCTCACCCTAGCCGGGGCACTCGTATTGGCCTTATGTCATTCCACAGCTTGTGAGAGTTTCAACGTTCAAATAGGTACACAGGCAAAAACAAAACCACTACAAACACAAAATACTGATTCCTCCTGTTTTCAGGGTACAAACTGTTACTAGCTATCATTTAAAAGGATAAGACTCTTGGGGCAGTGCTGGTTCACTGCTAGAATCCTCACCTTCCACGGGGGAGACCTGGGTTCGATTCCTGGCCAATGCACCTCATGCGCAGCCACCACCCGTCTGTCCGTGGAGGCTTGCATGTTGCTGGGATGCCTAACGGGCTTCAGAGGAGCTTCCAGACTATGATGGACTAGGAAGAAAGGCCTGGCGACCTACTTCCGAAAAATCAGCCAGTGAAAACCCTCTGGATCACAGCGGTCTGATCCATCACTGTTGAAGGGGATGGCATACGACTGGGCAGTGATTCATTCTGTTGTGCACGGGGTCGCCGTGAGACAAGGTCGACTCAATGACAGCTAACAACATCAGTTAGACTTTTTAAAATGATAACAGTTTGGTGACAAGAATTTGGTGATGATAGTTTGGTGACAGGAGACCTGGTGGCCCAGTGCTTAAGCACTCAGGCTGCTAACTAAGAGGTCGGCAGTTCAAATCCACCAGCTGCTCCTTGGAAACACTATGGGGCAGTTCTACTCTGTCCTATAAAGTCTCTATGAGTTGGAATCCACTCAATGGCAATGGGTTTGGTTTTTTTTTTTGTTTAATTTGGTGACACAGAAGAATTAAATGATATACTCACTGTCCTGTCCACCACCAAGGGCATCTTCTAAATTCAGGTCATCTTCTAGAGAAGGAAAGGGATTGTGAACACTGAAGTTCTGAGTGGAAGGAGTGAGGGGGTGACCTCCTCAAGAGACGGACAATGAGTCCTCGCATCCCCAGAATATTTTTCTGAATATCAGTCTGTCTCAGTCTGCTAGCGCTGTTGTAACAGAAATACCACAAGGGGGTGACTTTCATGAACAGAAATTTATTTTCTTATGGTTCAGGAGGCTGGAAGTCTGAATTCAGGGCACCAGCTCTAGGGGAAGGCTCTCTTTCTGTCAGCTGTGGAGGAAGGTCCTTGTCTCTTTCAGCTTCCGTGCCTCGGTTCCTTGGTGGCCTAGACTTGGCTTCTATCTTCCCCTTGTTTGAACCTCCTCCCCTCTGTGACTGCACTGCCCCTTATAATGCTGTTACGGATTGAATTGTGTCCCCAAAAAATATGTGTCAACTTGGCCAGGCCGTGATTCCCAGTACTGTGTGGTTGTCCTCCATTTTGTGATCTGATGTGATTATCCTTTGTGTTGTAAATCTTAACCTCTATGATGTTGATGTGGAGCCCTGGTGGCACAGTGGTTAAGAGCTACGGCTGCTAACCAAAAGGTTGGCAGTTCGGATCCACCAGCCCCTCCTTGGAAACCCTGTGGGTCAGTTCTACTCTGGCCTATGGGGTCGGTATGAGCTCGAAGGCAATGGGCTGATGTTAATGAGACAAGATTAGAGGTGGTTACGTTAACAAGGTAGGACTCAGTCTGTAGGATTAGGTTGTCTCTTCAGTCAAAGTTTTTTGAGATATTAAAGAAAGAGGCACCAGGAGTGGATCACGTCCTTTGGACCCGGGGTCCCTGCACTGGGAAGCTCCTAAGCCAGGAGAAGATGGATGACAAGGACTTTCCTCCAGAGCCAACAGAGAGAGAGAAAATCTTCCTCTAGAGCTGGGCACCCTGAATTAGGACTTGTAGCCTACTGGACTGTGAGAGAATAAACTTCTGTTTGTGAAAGCCATCCACGTGTGGTATTTCTGTTACAGCAGCTCTAGATTACTAAGACAGATACGCAGAATAAAAGCACCTGAAGAGGCTGTCAAATAACCCAAACGCGGCACAGAGATCTCGGCATTCATTACGGTCATCTCTGGATGTAGCGTCAACCCCACAGCACAACTCAGCCACTGACCAGGTGACACCCAGGCCCCCATGGGGCCCCTCTCTTCCTCACATTCACCTAACCCCACCCTGCCCTTGGGGGACTGGGCACGACCACAGTGATCTCTTCCTCCTCCTCACACGAGAAGACCATTTCCTTCTTACCTGGAATGGGCTTCTTGGGAGGTGTTGTGGGCTTCTTGTCATCCTCTGAAGAGAAAAAATTTCTGATCAGTAAAACTTGCATCTGGCAAAAAGAGTGTCAATTCTCAAGGACATTTCAGCTCCTTAAAAATAGTCCAGGATCCAGGGACAAGGACTAGAAGTCAGGAGGGGACAGGAAAGCTGGTAATAGGAAACCCAAAGTTGAGAAGGAACAGTGTTGACATGTCGTGGGGTTGTAACCACTGTCATACGACAATATGTGTACTAGCTGTTTAATCAGAAGCTATTTGTTCCATAAACCTTCCTCTAAAGTACAATTAAAAAAAAAAAGTCCAGGAACACCAATGTTCACAGCAACACTATTCACAACGGCCAAAATGTGGAAACAGCCCTAGTGTCCATCAGCAGATGAATAAATAAAAGCAACAAGGCCCGTCTGTACAATGGAATACTAAACAAAGAAAGAAAACCAAACCCTTTGCTGTCAAGTCGATTCAGACTCATAGCGACCCTATAGGATGGAGTAGAACTGCCCCACAGCGTTTCCAAGGAGCACCAGGTGGATTTGAACTGCCGACCTTTTGGTTAGCAGCTCTTAACCACTGCACACAATACTCTAAAAATAAACCAGACCAAGCCCGTTGCCATGGAGTCGATTCTGACTCCTAGCGACCCTACGGGACAGAGTAGAACTGCCCCTTAGGGTTACTGGAACACTACTCAGCCATAAAGAGAAATGAAGTCCCAACGCATGCCACAATACAGATGAACCTTGAAAATATGACCGTCAGTGAAATAAGTCAGACAAAGAAGGAAAAATATTGTCTGATCCCACTTATGTGAAATGTCTAGAAGAGGCAAATGCATAGAGACCTATAATCAGCAACAAGGTGAAGATGATAAATGACATAAATGTACGTAAAACACAAAGCGGCCTGCCTTGCGCTACGGCTATCAGTTGCCACGGAAAATAACAGGTGTTGGCAAGGACGTGGAGAAAACAGAACCCTCGCTCACTGCTTCTGGGATTGTAACATGGTGCAGCTGCTGTGCAGAACAGTTTGGTGGTTCCTCAACAAGTTGAACACAGAACTACCATCCAAAAAACCAAAACCAATTCTGACTCATAGCGACCCAGCAATTCCGCTCCTAGGTATGCACCCAGAAGAAGTGAAAGCAGGAACACAAACACAAACCTATCTACCAGCGTTCACTGTGGCACTATTCACAACAGCCAAAAGCTAGAAACAACCCAAATGCCCATCAACCACAATGTGATTCATCCACCCAATGGAGTATCACTCCGCCATTAAGAGACATGAAGTCCCAATGCCTGCTACAACATGGACGAACCTTGAAGATGTGATGCTGGGTGAGAGAAGTCAGTCATGAAGGACCACCTAAAAAACCAAAAAGCAAACCCATTGCCGTTGAGTCTATTCCAACTCATAGTGACCCTATAAGACAGAGTAGAGCTGCCCCATAGGGTTTCCAAGGAGTGGCTGGTGGATTTGAACTGCTGACCTTTTGGTTAGCAGCCGAGCTCTTAACCACTGCACCACCACGGCTCCTGAAGGTCCCCATTCTATATGATTTCTTTCCTATCAAATGTCCAGAATAGGCCAATCCACAGAGACAGAAAGCAGAGCAGTGGTTGCCAGGGGCTTGGGATAGGAGAGGGAATTGACTGCAGACAGGCTCAAGAGAATTTGGGGGTGGGGGGTGATGGAAATATTCTAAATGTATTAAAAAATTATTGAATTGTACACTTCAAATTGTACACTGTTAGCAGTAGACCAAAGGGGCAAGCAACCCAAGGGTCCATCAACAGACGTACGGACAAACACAACAAGGTCCATCCACACAAGGGAGTATTACTCAGCCGTAAAGACGAATGAAGTTCTGGTACACACCACAGCATGGATGAACCTTGCACCTTTTAGCCAAGACTGGCTCACAAAATAAAGAGTATCACCCGTAGGTACTGCGCTCCTTTAAAAAAGCACCTCTACGAGGCCAAAGGGTCAACCATGACTTTAAAACAAACATGAGAAGGTGAGGGAGGCAGGGACACTAGATGAAGGGAAACAGAACAACCAGAATGGAAATAATGAGAAGGCTCACGCATTGTGAGGAACGTAACTAATGTCACTGAACGACTTGTGTAAAAGTTGTTGAACGGGAACCTCAACTGCTGTGTAAACCTTTACTGAAAACACAATAAAATATTATTTAAAATATATATATATATATATATATATATATATATGCAGGTATATATGGATGAACCGTGAAAACATCATGCTGAGTGAAATAAAGCAGACACAAAAGGACAAATATTGTGTGATCCCATTTCTCTGAAATATGGAGAACAGGCAAATACAGACAGACAGACAGAAAGTAGACTGGTGGTTGTCCATCAGCAGATGGATGGATATACATGTGTAAATATATTTACTGTGTTAAAATAAAACACTGACTGGATTTTTTTAAAATACTCTTATCATTACTTACCACCAAGAGCATCTAGCAAATCCAAATCTTGGCCTAAAAAAAAAAAAAGAATTAAGTTAAAAATCAGAAAAACAACAGTAAACTTGAAAATTAAGGAAATAAGAAGAAAGAGCATGCTGTTTCCCTGCATTTGGGGATGTGGGTGGTTATTCAACAGCTGTAAACAATTTTATAGGTGTTGTGATTTCTCTCCTTCTGAATACTTGCTTTCGTGCCTGAACAGAAGACTACCTCAGCCATTTGGAACACAATTTGTTCCCTTAGTGTGGTTTAGCAGTAATTAAAACATGGGAAAAATGTGACCATCTTTGTGTATTATTCTTGAAAAGCAGATCCATAGCAATTTGCATACAATGGGAAAAAACCCCACAAAGAATAAGGGGTTTCTTTTTTGTTAACAATCTTTCTCTAACCACAAAAACAAAACGTGCTTGCTGTAAAAATATTAAGACACGCCAGGAAACCACAGAAAGAAAAAAAAAAAATCCGTGAATCTACAGAAAAAGCCAACAGCCATGATCACATTGCTATCGTATATCTCACTGACATGAATTTATTTAAAAAACGCCAACACTATTTCTTCATGGACATTGCTGTGGATTAAATTGTGTCCCCCCAAAATACATATCAACCTGGCTAGGCCATGATTCCCCGTATTGTGTGGTTGTCCTCCATTTTGTGATCTGCTGTGATTTTCCTGTGTGTTGTAAATCCTGCCTGCCTAATCTCTGCCTGCGGTTAATGAGGCAAGATTAGGTTATGGTAAAGAGGATTAGGGTTAGGATGCAACACCCTTACTCAGGTCACAGCCCTGATACCATGTAAGGTGAGATTCCGTGGGGTGTGGCCTGTATCACCTTTTATCTTACAAGAGATAAAAGGACAGAGAAGCCAGCAGAGAGAGAGGGACCTCATGCCACCAAGAAAGAAGAGCCAGGAACAGAGCGCGTCCTTTGGAGCCGGGGTCCCTGCGCTGAGAAGCTCCTAGACCAGGGGAAGATTGATGACAAGGGCCTTCTCACAGAGCTGACAGAGAGAGAAAGCCTTCCTCTGGAGCTGGCGCCCTCAATTCGGACTTCTAGCCTCCTAGACTGTGAGATAATACATTTCTGTTTGTTAAAGCCATCCACTTGTGGGCTTTCTGTTATAGCAGCACTAGATGACTAAGACAGACATCTCTGATGGATTCAAAAAAAGGAAACACAAGGGAAATCTGAAACATCCGTCTGCACCGTTTGCTGGACGAAAGGGGAGTGAAGGCGGAGCTTCTCCAACCCCAGGACGAGATGGGGAACCACCTCTCAGCAAGCACGGAGTGGAAGCCTGAGAGGCCGCCTCTGGATGTGTGGGTGAGCCTAGCCCTACAGACATGCTGTGTTCTGTAACTCTGTGTGTGTGCGTGCACGCATCTGAGTTTGTATATATGTGTGCAAGTGTTTGTGTGTGTATGCATGGTTTGTGTGGGCACATATGTATATGTGTGTAAATGTGCACAGTTGTATGCATACGCTATGGGGTGTGTATGCGTTGGCGTGTGTGTGAACGTGGTATGTATGACAGTGTGCGTATAGTAAGTGTGGGGTGTGTGAATAAAGTGTGTGATGTGTGTGTGTGTGCATGTGCTGTGTGAGTGTGTGTGTCTGGGTAGCACCTTGTCTCACGCCTGGACCCCCTTCCTGATCCCCCCCCCGTCACCTGGCCCCCACACGCTCTCCTGTGTATGGCTTCACCTGGGTCCCCTTGTAACCACTCACCTAAGGCCCAGTTTCCCTAAAAATTTGCCTCCTCCACCAGCCCAGCCTGCACCCCCCAGGGCTTCACTGTTCCAGGGAGCACCCCTGACATTAGCACACTTTTGGCTGACCCCCACACGTGTGCCTTACACAGTGGGGCCCCAGCGGCGGCCGGCCTCCCCACCACCGTCTCCCCCGAGGCTGCTGCTGTGGAAAGGCAAGAACTCTGTTCCTCCCCGTCTTTAGGGGCACAAGACACCCGCATCTGGGGCCCCGAGTCAACCAGAGGCACTGACCTCTCACCCCCAAGGCTGCCCAGGAGGTGGCCAGGCCAGGACAGAAAAGGGACAGTGGAATGCAGCCCCCTTGGGGTGTCCTCCCCTTGGCCCACCCACTGTGTCCAGCCCCAGCCCCGCAGAATCCCGCACCCCCAGCCCCCAGCCCCGCAGAATCCCCGCACCCCCAGCGCCAGCCCCGCAGAATCCCCGCACCCCCAGCCCCAGCCCCGCAGAATCCCCGCACCCCCAGCCCTGCAGAATCCACGCACCCCTAGAGCCAGAACTGGTCTTCCTGTGTGACCTCAGGGCTGGCCTTCCCTTCAGTATCCCTGCGGGACCAGCAAACCACACAAGACACCCCTAAGCTCTCAGCTGGGAGCGTTTTACCTAGGGTCCTTGTTATAGGTTGAGCAGTGCCCACCCAAAAAACAGATGCTGAAGTCCTAACCCCAGTACCTGTGAGTGTGACCTTGTTTGGAAATCGGCCCTTTGCAGCTGTTATCTGTTCCGGTAACATGAGGTCATACTGGAGTAGAAAAAAACAAAACACCAAACTCCAGCTGCCGGCAAGTCGACCTCGACTCACGGTGACCCCGAGTGTGTCAGAGTAGAACTGGGCTCCGCAGGGTTTTCAGTGGCTGATATTTTGGAAGTAGATCACCAGGCCTTTCTTTCAAGGCTCCTCTGGTTGGACTTGAACCTTTATCTTTCAGTCAGCAGCTGAATGCATTAGTCATTTGCACCACCCAGGGACTCCACAGACATATAGACTATAAATACACAGATACACAGACCAAAAACCAAACCAAACCAGTTGCCGTGGAGTTGACCCCGACTCACGGTGACCCCGTGGGCGTCAGAGTAGAACTCTGCTCCACAGGGTTTCTAATGGCTGATTTTTCATAAGTAGATAGCTAAGCCTTTCTTCTGAGGCTCCTCTGGGTGGACTGAAACCTCCAACCTCCAACCTTTCCGTTAGCAGCCAAGCACGTTAACTTATCTGCTTCACCCAGGGATTCCCTGGTTTCCTAGGAAACCCGAAAACAGACCAGCCCGTCAGCAAAACACCCTGTGGTTTCCAGCAAGCCCTGCGTAAACCTCCAGATGTTCATCTGGACCTGACTCAGGCTGGGTGTGGCTGCCGCCCTTCCAAGCCACATGAGTCATCCCTGACAAGGCACCCAGATTCTAACTCTCTCTCTCTGTCTTTTTTTAAAAATCAGCCAGCCATTTTGAGTAACAGCGTAAGCACCATGCTCTATGAGGTCTCCAAGGCCGCAGGTGATACTGGGACGACTTGGAATCGTGCCTGTGACTTCACCCATGTTACAAAGATGCTAACCTGCTCCTGTGAGGCGGTGACTTTTCACACGCCACCGCACACGTGAGAGCTGGCATCTGGTTTGTATTATGTAGAGACACGAAATTCTATCACGAGGGAATACCAGTATTTCACACACAAAACTAGCAAGGAAGTTAGGGGAACACTGTACTACTAGCCAAAAGTCGGCCGTTCAAAATCACCCGGAAGTGCCTCAGAAGAAAGGCCTGGCGATCTGCTTCCCAAAGGCCACAGCCTTGCAAGCCCTATGGAACACAACATGGGGTTGCAACTGACAACAGTAACAGAAGTAGCCAGTCGTCACATGAGGGCAGGGGTGGCTCAGCGGTGGAACCCTCCCCTTCCACGCAGGAGACCCGGGTTTGATTCCCGGCCAATGAACCTCATCCCCACAGCCACAACCCATCTGTCAGTGGAGGCCTGCGTGTTGCTGTGATGCTGAACAGGTTTCAGCAGGGCTTCCTAAGACAAATTAGGAAGAAAGGCCTGGTGATCTACTTCTGTAAATCAGCCAATAAAAACCCCATGGATCACAACAGAACATTGTCTGATACGGTGCTGGAAGATGAGCCCCCTACGTTGCGAGGCTCTCCAAATACACAGTGGCCTCAACCAGGGACTTGAGCAGACCAACAACTGTGAAGATGGCGCAGGGGCAGGCATCGTTTTGTTCTGTTACCTACGTAAGGTCGCTCTGAGTCGGAGCCAAGTCCACACCAACTAACAACCACAGCAACAATCCCGTAAGAGTGATGTCCTTGGAGAAGAGGAGACAGACAGACAGGGAGACAGCGGGAAGACGGCCATGTGAAGACAGAGCCAGGGACTGCAGTGATGCGGCCCCAAGCCCAGGAACGCCAGCCATCCCCGGAAGCTGCGAGAGAGGCATGGAACGGATTCTCCCTCAGAACCTCAGAAGGAACCAACATGGCTCATGGCTCTGATTTCAGGCTCGCAGCCTTCAGAACTGTCAGACAATACATTTCTGTTCTTCCAAGCCCCGCCTCCTCCCCGATTTGCAGTACTTGGTTATATAGCAGCCTTAGGAAATTAATACAGCAAAGTTCCCAAGGGGTCCAGGGAACAAGCTAGCTGGGGGCTCTTGCATTAGTCCAGGAAAGACGTCAAGGGTGAGAGGTGGTCTGAAATAAGAAAGCAGAAATGGAGAAGGGGGGGGTGGGTGGAGAAATATTTCGGAGGTTAAAGCAACAGGATTTGCCAACAAATCGGATTTGGAAGGGAGGAGCTGCTAGGAATGGCGAAGCTGGGCAAATGGTCATATTATAAAAGCTAAGGATAAGGGAGGAGACGCAGGCCAGGGAGAAAATAATGAGGAGTTTCAGACAGGGAGCGTTTGAGACATCATTGCTTCAATCAGATGGAGCTGACTGGTCAGTGGTTAGCCAAGTAAGTCTGGCCTAGAGAGAGATCCAGGTGAGACCCTGGGGACCCAGCGCCAGCACCCCAGGAGGTAGACTGGGAGGCTCTATCAGCTGAGCGACCACCCCAGCTGAAGGCAACGTTCCTCCGTGCCACTCCAATTCCATCCCTTCCTGCACTCCGCCTCGTTGTCTTGTCCGAATGCAGACATGGCAAGCCACGGCCCAGTGACCTGGGCTGACCTTGTAGCTGCTTATGGTTTCTGAATAAGATAGCGGACATCCGCAAACCACACCGCGTCACAGGCTGCTGCAGCCGGCTCCCAGGCAAGAGGGGACGCTGCTCAGAAGTGTTGGCGCTGGAATCCAGGCGAGACCGTGGCCCAGGTAGGCTTCTGGCCTCAGGTAAGCACCTCAGCAGCCAGGGAGGGCTCCACCTACCCCTGAAAGTGGCATCCTGCCCTCCCAGGGGCTCCAGGGGACTGCGTTAATAACCACCCCCCCCCATCACTCTGAGGAGTTCCTGGGTGGTGCAAAGGGTTAACGTGCTCGGCTGCTAACTGAAAGGTTGGAGGTTCGGGTCCACCCAGAGGTACCTCGGAAGAAAGGCCTGGCGATCTACTTCCAAAAGAATCAGACATTGAAAGCCCTATGGAGCACGGTTCTACTCTGACACATGGGGTCGCCATGCGTCTGAGTCGACTGCACGGCAACAAATTACCTGGTCATTATGGGGCAGCTGTTTGCTGTTGGGAGTGTGTGTCTGTTTGTGTGTATGTATAGATGTTTGCATGCATGCTGTGTGTGTGTGTGTGTGTGTGTGTGTGTGTGTGTGTGTATAAGGTCCCTGGGGGGCACAGACAGTTGGTGCTTGACTAGTAACTGAAAGGAAGCCCTGGGGGCGCAGTGGTTAAGAGCTCGGCTGCTAACCAAAAGGTCAGCAGTTCGAATCCACCAGGCGCTCCTTGGAAACCCTATGGAGCAGTTCTCCTCTGTCCTGTAGGGTCACTATGACTCGGAATCGACTCAACAGCAATGAGGTTTTAGTAACCAAAATGTTGATGGTTCTAACCCACCCAGTAGCTCCGTGGAAGAAAGAGCTGGTGATCTGCTCCCATAAAGATTACAGCCAAGAAAACCCTATGGAGCACAGTTCTATTCTGTACCACATGAGGTCCCCATGAGTCGGAGGTTCAAGTCCACCCAGAGGCCCCACGGAAGAAAGGCCTGGCCATCTACTTCTGAAAAATGATCCATTGAAAACCCTACGGAGCACAGTTCTACTCTGACACATGTGGGGTCGCCGCGAGTTGCAGTCGACTCAATGGCAAGCGGTTTGGTTTTGTTATTTTAATTACAAAGAAGGAGTCCCTGGGTGGTGCAAACAGTTAACACCCTAGGCTGCTAACTGAAAGGTCGGACGTTCAAGTCTACCCAGAAGTGCCTCAGAAGAAAGGCCTGGCAATCTACTTCCAAAAAATCAGCCACTGAAAAGCCTGTGGAGCACAGTTTCAGTCTGACACACATGGGGGCACCGTGGGGCGGGGGGTGACTCCACAGTAACTGGTTTACCTGGATCAGTGTGAGACGCAGTCTCCAAACCCTTTCCTCTTTCTGCTACACCGAGTCTTTCCACGTTAAATGTTTAACAAGCCTCCTTACTACGCCCCTTCCCTGAGAAGGCACACTGTGTGCTGAACAATCAGGAAGGTGCTCTGTTTTAATTCACACCTGGAACTAGAAACACCTATGTCTCTAAGACAGGTAACAGCCACTACAACAGCAGTGCAAGTTGACTGTGTTACAAGGGTGTCCGGGAGCCTAGCCCTCGGGGATTCTCCAGTCTCTGCCAGACCAGTAAGTCTGCTCTTTTTTTTTTTGTGTTAGAATTATTTTTTTCTAATTTTTGTTATGTAATAATCTTTTTTTAAAAAATTGTACTTTAGATGAAGGTTTACAGAACAAATAATTTCTCCTTAAACAGTCAGTACACATACTGTTTTATGACATTGGTTACCAACCCCACGAGCTGTCAACACTCTCCCTTCTCGACCTTGGGTTCCCCGTTATCAGCTTTCCTGTCCCCTCCTGCCTTCTAGACCTTGTCCCTGGACTGTTGTGCCCCATTAGTCTCGTTTTGTTTTATGGGCCTGTCTAATCCTTGGCTGAAGATGAACCTGGGGAGTGACTTCAGTACGGAGCTGAAAGGGTATCTGGGGGCCATACTCTTGGTGTTTCTCCAGTCTCTGTCAGGCCAGTAAGTCTGGTCTTTTTTTGTGAGTTGGGATTTTTTCTACATTTTTCTCCAGCTCTGTCCTGGACCCTCCGTTGTGATCCCCGTCAGAGCAGTCAGTGGTGGTAGCCAGGCACCATCTAGTTGTCCTGGACTCAGTCCGGTGGAGGCCGTGGTAGCTGTGGTCCATTAGTCCTTTGGACTAATCTTTTCCTTGTATCCTGTTCTCTTCATTCTCGCTTGCTCCCAAAGGGATGAGACCAGTGGAGTATCTTAGATGGCTACTCACAGGCTTTTAAGACCCCAGATGCTACTCACCAAAGTAGAATGTAGAACATTGTCTTTATAAATTGTGTTATGCCAATTGAGCTAGATGTTCCCCGAGACCATGGTCCCCACAGCCCTCTGCCCAGCAATTCACTCCCTCAGGGAGTTTGGATGTGTCTATGGAGCTTCCATGACCTTTCGTTGCACAAGTTGTGCTGGCTTCCCCAGTACTGTGTACTGTCATACCCTTCACCACAGTTACCACTTATCTATTGAGACAGACTCTTAATGGTCAACCAACACCCACAGTGGCACAAGACAAAGGACATCAAGGGCTGTCAAAAAAATCACCCACAACCGCCTCATTGGGTGGGGCGGGGAATGACTGAGGAGCCTTCAATTGAAGAGATTCGCATTTATCTGAGCGTTTGGGTTTTCACAC